CCAACCTTATTTTTATCCTTGTAGTTTGTTAATGAATTAATAATTTTTCATTAACCATGCTTTTCAAGGCCACAACTTTGCAGGCATGGCCTTTCTGATGAAACTGCAAAATCTTCATATCGGTTTTGTTCCTCTAACTGAAGATCTGACTAAAAGCAACTAGCAGTACCCACTTCATAGCCTGGGCTGCTTTGAAATTTCCTCTACCAGTTCAATCAATACACCTCTCTTCATCTCAGTTTTACATAAAGTCTCAGGACATGCATAAAATGAAATTTTAAGCCAGCATCTAACATACATAACTTCTAATCCAACTGCCAGTAGAATCCTTTTTCCTAGCTGTAACTTCCTGAGCCTGTGTTTATTGTCTACATTCCCACACTGTGGTTCGAGCTCTCACTGGAATCACTTATCAGTCTGGTCACAACATTCTAGAACTTCTCTAGCACACACCTCCACAACCCCCTTCTGAAGGCTTCTGAACCACTTATAAGGGTATAGTTACAGCAAAAATCTCACTCCTGGTACCAAAGTCTGTCTTAGCAACTTTCTAGTTGTAAGGGTAGAATACTAAACTCCAAGCTTAGTGTTAGGGAGATTCATTTTGGGTCATGTTTTCAGGCCATGTTTGGAGGGCTCCAAAGCAGAAAGAGGATGGCGGGAAGGCCTGGCAAGAGTGATGCTGCTCAACTCATGGTAGCCAGGAAGCAGGGGAGCTGGGCATAAGAACCCAGGACAGGCATCTAGGTCACACCCCAGGGACCACCTCCAACCAGTGTCACCTCCTAATAGTACATTTACTTATTAACTCAGCGATGGATGAATTCACTTGTGAGATTAGTGCCCCATTAGTTACCCTCTAAACACATGAGACTCAGGAACACTTTAGATCTAAACCATAACTGACCATTTGCATAATATATTGGAAACTGTTCAGATCTCTTTATTATTGTACTATCACATTATCGAGACTTTTTAGAAGCTTATTATATAAGGTTGCTTACCCTTTATGGTATAAATTATAAATCTTTGTGCTACTTTGTCATTTGTGTTTTTATTTATACAATAATAAATATTGTATTGCAATATTAATTGTCTCTGCAATTCAAAAGTCATCTTTTAAATTTTTATTTTGTCAAACTTATTAGCGTTTACCCTTTATCCTGCATGATTCTTCAGGATCTTCAGTCCCTTCTCCCCTAGAGCTACAAAGAAATTGACCCATGCCTAAATTTTTGTACCTTATTTTATTTTTTTAATCCTATTTATTTAGTTATTTATTTGGTACAGGGTCTCACAGTGGATCTTGGACTAGTAGTGATCATCTTGTCTCAGCCTCCCCAGCGCTGGAATTAAAGGGGTGTGCCACTACACCCAGTGTCAGTGGCTGGCACAATGCGCCCAGGGTTCCAGGGCCCTGCACAGCATGTGGTATGGAGATCAAATCTGGGTCCTTGCGCTTGCCAGACAGGTGCTTAGACTGCCAGCCTATCTCGCCAGCCTAATTTTTTGTATGTGTTTTAAAGCTCCAATCCATATGAAATATGTTGCCTATGTATGGTATGAGGACAACATTTAATTTTTATTTTTTACATGGCTGTCAGGTTAATCCAACATTCCTTATTCGTCTTTTCTTCCCTGGTTTGAAATGCCACTTTCCTTGCTCACTAAATGTTTATATTCAAATAGTTCCTTTCCTCTGTACCTCTCTTTATTGCCTATTATTTTTGACCTACATTTGATGACAGTGGAAATTAGGAGTATGGGATGCAATGAAATATTTCAGACCTAAAATCCATCAAGTAAATATTTTGAGTTACTTTATATAAGTAAGGAAAAGAAACTTCTTCATGGAGCAAGTCAGTTGTCTGAACTTTTTTCCTTTACTGCGACAAGCACCGTGATGGGATTAGTCATGAGGTTAGGCTTCAGGATCAGAGCTCTACCCCTCAGCGGGCAGATGCAGCTGTTTGTTGTGAGGATGTCCTCATTTTCTCCCTTGTAAATTGTGTGCCATGGACTCTTTCAGGGGGTGGTGAATACTGGTGACCTGTGTGCCACCCCCCACCCAGTGTCTGTCTAGCTCTCGATCCCTCAGAGTAAATGCATCGAAAGCTAGGATCACAGAGCCGATCAGAGAGCTCAGCCGACTAAAGTGTCTGCTTAGGCAAGCACAGGGGATGGAGTTCAATCCCCAGCGCGCCCATGCTATGCACTGAGATGGTGACTGAGACTAGGCGCGGTGGCACGCACCTGTAATCCCAGCTCTTGGGAGGCTGAAAACTGGAGGATCACTACTAGTCCAATCTGTATAGTGAGACCCTGTAGACCCTGTACTAAATATATTACAAAAAAAAGCTATGACCATAAAATTTTCTCCCCTACTTAGGAAAATAGGGACTGGCCTGACTTTTTACTCTGCAAAGCTAAATAAATGTGGCAGATAGAAAGCAGGCTATTCATCCCCTCGTCCCTGGAAGTCATGCTGCCTCCTGCAGCTTCCATGTGAGACAGGATAGGCAGGCGGGTCACACCAGGGAGGTGGATCACCTCTCTGTGGCCCATGTGAGGACTCCCAGGGGCTGAGAGGTCTGTCTTTCCTCTTCTCAGTGTAGTGGTGCTTTTAGCTTTGGAGTAGAAAACCTTGACTACAATCTGGAAGCTTCCAGCAAACTTCCCTTTTATCCTTTGAGCCCCTGCCTCCCTTTAAGTAATGAGAACCTGCTTTAGAAGGGAAAAGTATGGTCAGTATAATTTGTCTCTGTCTAGAATGAAATCGAGATCTGAACATTTTTCTGGCAAATGTTCCCACACCTGATTTTTCTTCATAAAGACCCAATTTGTCTTATTTAGCTTAATGATTTTCATAATTGTCTATTTTAGGTTGTAATAAGTATACATTAAGGATGTGTGCTTTGGGAACATTTTAGAATCATTTTTAAATTATTGTTCGTGTATTATTGAAGCTCCACTCATTATTCTAATGGACAATTTCAGTCTTTCATTTTAAAATAAACTTTTGACAGTAGCTGATACAACTCATCATTCAATGACTTGTATATGAAAGTAATATGTTGGGCTGGTGAGATAGCTCAGTGGTCTAAAGCACCTGCTTAGGCAAGCTTAGGCAGGTGCAGGGGACTGCGGTTCAGTCTGTGGCACCACATATTGTGCCAGCTGAGCAGGTGAAAAAAAAAACCACCTAAAAATGATTTGATCATTTTACATTAAATCATATTCATGCACAATTATAAAAGTGCTTTTAGGTACACTTTTATTTCAGTTTTGCAAAACAATTGTGATTTAGCACTATTGTTAGTTGTAATTTGTATTTGAAAAAACAAAATCCTGAAGAAGTTCAACTTTTTATATAATTCTTTATGCCTATTTTTAAAATATATTCTAATTTTTAAATGTTTTTTATCATATTCTGTAGGGACTTAAAGTTCAACATATCAATACTTGGTGAAAAGTACCTGTTCCATATTATGCCTGAGATGTTTGATATGCAGACAGATAGTGAGGTTAAGCTTAACAGCCTAGGTTGTATGGTAATAACAATAAGCTTGTCTTCTGGATGGTTAACAACCTAAGTTTGCAGACCAAAATTGGAGAGAAAGGAGGGCTGCAAGGAAAGCCAACATTTTGGCCCTAGCCTTCCAAGGTCAATTAAGGCTCAGGACATATAAGAACTTGTACTGTAACGTCATGTATCTCGGCACTGTCCCAAATTTTCTGATCAAGGAGATTATGAGGCCAAAGAGGAAAGTGATCAATTATGTAGAGTATGCCTAAGGAAAGTCACATGGAGAGAAAACATTCTCTCAGGCTTTCACAGAGAGCACATTGGCCAAGCAATGGTTGTGACTCAACCACATGGCTGACACTGACAATGGCTCTACAATCTGAGGTGCAGGATCTCAGGATAAATCCTGAGGGGATTTCACTGACCTTCTGAGACCCAAAAGCTACAACTCTTGTTGCATATGTCCTGCTTTACCTTGGTCTTGGCCATCCAGCAGAAAAGTATAAAAATGAAATATAAGAAGTAAAGCCATGCTGTTATGTTGAGCTGTGGGGGCTCAGGTCAACAATTTCTGACATTGCCAGTCAAGCGGAAGACCCAATAGTAGCCCAATACTATTATGGGCTACTGGACTTTTTTGGAATATTTTGCTGAGTTTACACACCTATAATATTCAAATAACGGAACTTAAAAAAAGGGTATACAGACGATTGTATCTGTGTATTGAAAGTGTTTTGTATAGATATATAGTTACATTCTCTTAATGAGTAAAATGATTCTTGTACAGCATTTAACCACTAGGAAGAATGTATGCAGTGTGTTAATTATTGAAACTCTCCTACTGATTTGATTTGCAACTGTCTGATTGGTATTTGTTTATTAATAAAATTATGGGAAAAAAAAGATACCATGTCTGCATCTTGTACACTAACTACTATGATGACAACAATATGCAATGTATTAATTATTGTAACTGTCCTACTGATGTATTTTGAAACTATCCCATTGTTATTTCTTTCTCAATAAAATTAGTAAAATATAAGCAAAAAAAAAAATAAAGTTCAACTTTCAAGGAGCCCCAGGGCTCACTGCAAACTGGAATTCTATGTTAGAAATCTTTATTTCAATTCTAGTGTTCTTCCCATAGGACTACAACAAAACTCATAGTTACCCAGAGTGCTGGTTCAGATATCCGTGTGCATTGTGTTTCTACAGTTGCTGTTATGCTACATTTCCCATTGAGTGACTCTTAAGGTTTCTTTTTCCAATCTTTCAACCTCACTTAGTTTCTTAATGTAAATAACTAAGTAACCCTTTGGTGTGTCCAAATCAGGACTGTTGAAACTATTGTAGAATGGTACCTTAGTAGTTTGAAATCTCGTGGGGATTAGCCACATATTTTTTTTCTTAAAAGGCACAAAAGTTGCACTGCTGATTAAGAGATGTAATGCAAAGGTCTGGTCTTGTCTTCCAGGTGGCCTTGCATGCCTGTGGTGTGGCAACAGACATGGTGATTGAACACTGCATCAAAACCCGGGCTTCCTTTGTCACCTGCCCCTGTTGTTACGGTTTCATTCAGAACACCTCGAAGTTTAATTTTCCAAAAAGGTGACACTTAACACTCTTATCTAAGATACCAGTATATCTAGGTAAGCCAGTGTACAAAAGTTTCATGGAAAGTTACAAGGAGCTTTCATTCTGAGGCTCTGACTTTCCACAGTGCCTAATATGAACACTATGGGAAAGGGCATCTCCTCCGCAGCTCTCCTGATTCTCCCACTGCTCCCTTGATTTTCCTCCTTGCTGAAGTTGAAGCAAGTCTGTCGAGGAGTCAGGCAACTAGAATTCCATCCACTTCAGCACCTCTGTCTTCTAAATAAAATTAAAACTATCACTTTTCAGAAGCAGAAGAGTACAGGAGGCCATGTTCAGGTGCAAATCCTGGTTCCTTATCCTTATACAAGTTGCTTAACCACAGTCGAGTTACTCAGTTTTTTCTGCCTGTGTTTTTTCATTTAAAATAAGGATTAGAATAGTGGTAATGTACAGTAGTAACCTCTTTTGTGATAATGACATATGTACTATTTACAAGTAGAACAGAGAAAGCACCCAGTAAATGTTGATAGAACTGTTGATAGTTACAACTGTAGCAGTAATATTTTTAAGTAGTACTGTGTTAGCTCTCCATCATGAGATGAAGTACCTGAGATAAACAACTGAGAGGAGGGAAGATATCTTTGGGCACAGCATTTCGAGGATTTGAGTCCATGGGCAGTTGGCTGTTGCCCTGGGCTACAGTGGGTAGCACCTTGTGGTGGCCACAGAGCAGGGAGAGAGGGGGGAAGGGGCCAGCACAAGGCCCACTTGTCCAAGTACTGCTCCCAGTAGCCTGCTTTTTTAGCGAGGCCATGCCTGCCAGAGGCTGGTTCTGCTGTAAGCCAGCACTGAGGAATCAATGTTTTAGAAAGACTGCCTATGGCACATCCAAAGCCTCCTGGCCAGTGCCCTCGGTGCTTCTGGTGTGCCTCAGAAGATTTCCATTCAAATAGATACTTAATGGTCTGCCACTAAGGAAAGTAAAATACAAATAGTAGCCATCTTTTTGTCTTTTGTTTTGTTCTTCTATAATTCACAACTTGTTGAGAGAAAAAGAACTGTTAAAAAACAAACAATAGGATACAATTTAAGGCTTACTCAACCATTGAAATCTCATTTTACTATAAATCTCTACTGATAAAATGTATATTTTTGCAACTGATTAAGAAAATTTTAGGGGAGATGGCTCAGTTGAATAAGTGCTTGCCTGGCAAACACAGGGTCCTGAGTTCAATCCCCAGTACTGCCAAAAAAAAAAAAAAAATTTGGGGGGCCTGGGAGATAGCTCAGTGGAATAATGCTTGCCTGGCAAGCACAAGGGCCTAAATTCGATCCCTGGTCACACACACACACACACACACACACACACACACACACACGATGTGAAAAGATACACATACCCCACACTTGCTGCCAATGTTAATTTCCTGATTTTGAGACTAAAAAGATGCAATCTTCTGGCACCACACCAGGTATAACCCTTGGGGAAAATGGGGCAAATTGAGCGTAGGATCCCTTTGTCCCATCTTCATAACTTCCTAGACTCTGTCAATCTTTTGTTTTTAGACAAGGCTCTGCTACGTAGCTCAGGCTCGTCTTGAACTCAATGTGCAGCCCAGGTTGGTCCTGAACTTGTGGTGACCCTCCTGCCTCAGCCTCCTTGGCACTGGCA